GCCTGCAGAGCAGCTCTGCAACGTCACTGGAGAGGATGCCCCCATGTCCAAGATGGGCTGTGGGATAAGCAAGGTCCTTCCCAAGCTGCCCAAGGATGTCCACCTGAATCTGGCCAGGAAGGTGGAACCCCTCAGTGACACTAAGAGTGATGTTATACAAGTCCTTCATCATGGAGATGGATGGTATTGGCTCTCTCAAAGCTAGCTTCCTAGCAGCTGGTCAATATGCACACCCCTGCCCTGGTGCCCCCACTACTGGCCACACAGAGCATCCCTCAGAACCACCATGCAGGGCATGGCTAAGTACAGGGCCAAGTTCAACCCACATATATCAAGGCCCTGATTGCTCAAGGCAGCTTCACTTCAGCAAAGTGGTTCATGTGGGCAACCCAGCAGCCATATGCTGTCAAGATGATTGAGACCAAGTACCAGTAGAGGCAGGAGGTGAGTGAGTCTGAACTGTGTGTGCTATGCTGGGTGCATCATGTCAACATCATCCAGCTGTTGGAAGTATTTTAGGTGGAGGAGTGTTTTAGTCTGTTTTGTGTTGCTATAACAGAAATACCTGAGACTGGGTAATTTATAAAGAACAGTGGTTTATTACGCTTACGATTCTGGAACAGCTGCATCTGGCACAGGCCTCAGGCTGCTTCTACTCATGGTGGAGAGTGACAGGCAGCCGGCGGGTATGAGCAGATCACATGGCGAGAGGAAGCAAAGAGAGGAAGCAAGAGAGAGAGAAGGTGCCAGGGTCTTTTTAAGCAATGAACTCTCACAGGAACTAGTAGAGCAAGAACTCACTCATTAATCCCCCCTCCCCCAGGGAGAGCATTAATCCATTCATAAGGACTCAGTCAGTTTCCAACACTGCCACATTGGGGATCAAATTTCCAGATGTTTTTTGGCGGGGACAACACAACCAAACTCCATCAAGGAGCATGTATACCTGGTGATGGAGCTGCCCACTGGCAGAGAGCTCTTCAACCACATTATTGCCAGGGGTTCCTTCACTGAGCGTGACACCACCAGAGTGATTGCAGATCGTGCTAGATGGCGTCTGCTATCTCCACGCACTGGGCATCACACTCCAAGACCTCAAGCCTGAGAATCTGCTCTACTACCACCCAGACACTGACTCCAAAATCATCATCACTGACTTTGGCCTGGCCAATGCCCACAAGAAGGGTGATGACTGCCTGGTGAAGACCACCTGCGGCACACCTGAGTACATTGAGCTCGAGGTGCTGGTCCACAGCCCTGCGCCAACTCAGTATACATGTGGGTGCTGGGCGTCATCGCCTACATTCTGCTCAGTGGCACCATGCCCTTTGAGGATGACAACTGCATCCAGCTGTACCAGCAGATCCTCAGAGGCAAGTACAGTTACTTAGGGGAGCCCTGGCCCAGTGTTTCCAACCTGGCCCAGGACTTTACTGACTGCCTGCTGACAGGGACTCCAGATCCCATATGACTACTCTGCAGGCCAAGGCACCCTTGGGTGGTGAGCATGGCAGCCTCTTCATTCTTGAAAAATATGCATCACTCCATCTCCCAGAAACCTCCTCAAACGCACCTCCTTGTTCTGCCAGAGCACCCAGACCTGCCCAGTCCACGCCTTCCAGCCACTCCACACGTTCCAGCAAGTCACACCACATGTTCAACCTGCCTTACCAGCAGCAATCTGGCTGTGGTACACACATGGCACCGTCTCAGCCTGGCTGCACATTGTTGTACTATCTGAGCCCAGTACCCTCTCTGAAGATAGGCCAATACAGCTGGCAGTAGGTGGAGAATGGCCCCAGCCCCTTCTCTGTGCCTTCAGCAACCCCATCCTCACTGTGGGCCTGGTGTGGAGGTGGCTAAGGGGGCTGTGACCCTCCCCCAAACTGGGAGCTGGGTCTGGCACTGACACCCCTTTTTGTGGGCAACTGCTCTGGTATGAGTTGGAGGAAGGGACAGGACTTGGCTTTCACTGTCTCGCTCACCCTTTGGCTCTGCCTCAGGACCTTTTAGGAGAGTTACTTCTGTAATCCCGCCTTTCTCCACAGATCCTTCCTCCTTGGCTCCCACATTCCATGACATCCTGACCCTCAAGATTATGCTCCAGTGGGAGGTCCAGCTAAGCACAAAGCTTGTGCCTTGACTGGAGCTCCAGCACCTGGCTAGATCCAGACAGTCCTCCACCTCCTGGTCTAGATCTGTCTTCCTTCATGGTGCCCCAGGGACCCCTCCTGGCTGCAGGATTCGCCAAGACCTCAGGTTTTAGGGCCGTGGCATGGACGCTAGCCCTGCACTATGTGGGCATGCTGGTGGCAGGCTTGTCCCAGATTCCCACCGCACTCTATGAGGAGGTTCCTGCCCACTAGCCCCCTACCCTCAGTGCCTTCTTTACAGAGCCCACCATTACCTCCTTTGTCCCTTTGGATACCCATTCCATTCCACAGGTGCCTCCTTCTCAACTGTAGGGAGTTAGAATCCCACTGCTGCTATCTGGGGGCACTGGGTGAAGGCAGGGGGTTCCCCATCAGGATTCCATTGTCGGCCCTTGTTTGGTACTGCCTGTTGCCCCTCCCCTTCAGGCTCATTCCCTCCTCTGCAGTTGCATCAAGGTGCCATCTGGTGACTGCCACGAGTATGGGCAGGCTGGAGCAATCAGTGCACACCCTTTGTGCCCACTCATAGTCCTCCAAGAGGAAGTGGGAAGGAAGGAGTTGTTGCACTGGTCGGGGGAGGGTCCTAGTTTGCTCAGCTCTCCCCTTCTGCTGAGCTTCTACACACCTCTTCCTGGAACTCAGCCACACTGTGTGACCTGCCTTTGAACCCTGGGTGCCTAGGGCGCTGGCCTTGCCTGCTTCCTTTCACAACATTAACCTTCCAGTCTGGGTCCCACTGAGTCAGGCTGGAGAGAGCCCTGCAGGAGGTGAGTTGGGTTGGATAGCTGCTTTCCCAGAGACCTGAGCTAGATCCATCCCCATGTCTGTCATGGTGTCTCCCCTTCCCACCACAAACCAGGCTGGAACCCAAGTCCCCTACCTCCACAGCTGCTTGCAGTGGGTGCGAAGAGGCCAGCGGCAGGGCCTGGGGTTGGCCCCTACTCAGCTCCTCCCTGTGCGCAGCCTCGGGCCAGGCCCTCCTTTTTCTGCATGTGCCACCTCCAGTGGAAAACCAAACCAAAGACCACTCTGGCCAAGTCAACTGTGCCTTATACACCTCTTCCATCCCCACTACCCTCTGGGCAGGATGCAGTGGAGAACCCAAAAGCCCCAGTGGCCTCAGAATTTTCCATTTCCCCAAGTGTCTCTAGGGGCCCGAAGCCCTGGCAGTTTATTTCCTCTGTTGCCCAGGGTAAGCCTGGTCCTGGAGGTAGGAAAGAGGGGGTTTGGAGACATGGACTATGGATGGAGAATGTGCAGTTATTTTGTGTACTCAGTTTGTATATATATCCTTTGTATTCAGTAAACAGGCTACCCTCCCCAGGGAAGGCTGCCCATTTGTTCTGACAAAAATAAAAAGTATAAGTTTGCATTGGAGTATTTAGTAAACTACAATTTTTTTTTTCTAATTACACCTACACCTCATTGGATGATACAAATGATTAGTATTTTGGTGTTTATCCTTGTTTTTCTACCCTATAAATGCTGTAAAAGATACAGAAAGAAAAATGCTGATGAGTGATTTGATCTAGAACACTTAACCAAGGGTGGGGGCGGGAGAAGTATGGATTGTACAAGTTTAGGCTTAATCTCAGCTGATCTCCTCCAACCCTGTGCTTATTGCTAGGAATACTGGCAACCATGGTGCTGACATTTGGCCAAACCTGAGTGAAATGTACTAACTAGTAATGAAGATAGTCTTGTGCTAGGGTCCAAAATAGATCAGGGGCAATGTGCAGTAGCTTGCCAGCATTGTTTAACAGAAAATGTTGATGGTTTGCAACTGGTTTCTATCATGGTCTCTTGATTTCTGCTGTTGAGCCTGATTTTGCCTATGTGACCAGAGGGGTATAAAAGACCTCTCTTTGAACAACAATGAGGGTCCCCTGATACCAAGGTATTTGGAATGTATCTTGGTGGTTCACATTGAAGATGAAATGGGTCCTGTTCTACTAAGATAGGATCCTGGAAGCTGTGCCTAGAATGTTTTGGGCCCCTCTGATGTTTCCCTATGCTTTCTCCTATATTATAACTTCTGCCTTCATTAATGCCTCATGTGAGTTATATATCCTGTGTAGCCTCAAGAATCCCAGTTATATGACCATGTATAATTGCTGCATATACCATCTCATTTTGAAAAAATTTAAGTGATATGTATCTCTTGTTTTATTTGTTCTCAGAGATGGCTAGCTAGGACATTGAGTCAGCTTACACATCACAAAGAAATGTCCTTTTGTGTTGCAAAGCCATCATCCTTAGGTTTTTTGATGAATTATCAAATTACTTGGTTATGGAATAAACTTTTTACGTTACAAAAGAAATATTATATGTATGTGAACTTGAAGGTAAATTAATAAGAATGTCAGCATTAAGGACTGAACAAAATTCATAATTACAACATGAAATGGGATATATTAACTTATAAATACAGTGTTCCACAAGTGAGACTGAAATGACAATCCATGCTATCTGCGCCATATCCTACTTTAAGCAAAACAAAACTAAGAATATTTTCTTCAAGTAGTATAGATTCTACATTGGAAGAATGTTGGTCTAAGAATTTATAGATAATCAGATGACTGCCATATTTCACAGGAGCAAGAATTAATTCCATTTTTAGTGTAATAAGAAATGGCACCCAACAGTGTGGGTGGAGGGGGAACACTATGCCCATTTTACCACTGTATTCCCCTTTATTTTAGGATAGACATGTACACTAAAATCTACCACCACCCCCCAAAAAACCTGAAGAATAACAAAAGTCCTAGCAGGTTAATCTCTTTTCTTAGGAATATTGAAAAATATTTCTTGTTACTTGTATCTGAGTTCTGTCTCCAATTTTTACAGGGGAAACAAGGCAAACATGTTTTATATGGCTGCAGTGAAATTTTCAATGCTACACAGTTCATAAAACAGGTAAAGTATACCTTTTTAGTTTGTTTCTGTTAACATACCCCAAGATGATGTTGATATTTTTCTAAAGAGAGAAAGAAAACTGTTTATTCATCTGTACCAGTTAAAACCAAAAGCCATACAGCTGTAAGAACATAAGAATTTGCAGTTGGAATAGTGTACTTAGGCAAAATCCAATCCCGCATTTCCTTGCGTACTGTTCACATTTCTGACTTTGCCAAGCATATCACATATTGGGCCTGAGAGATTAAGCAATTTTCTTAGGGAATAGCATGTGCTCAGTTGATACAATAAAGTCCACTCACCTTAGCTGCCATAAAAATCATAACTGTACCCTGTACTAATTTTTAGTAACCATTTCTAGCATTCATTTTCCAGCACAACTTCCTTATCCTTACATGGTTCTTGTATTTTTAACCTTAATTTAGCACCTCAGAGGTTTTATGAGAATTTCAAACATACAGAAAACTTGAAGAGAATTTGCAATAAACACTTGCATACTCCCCATTAATGTTTTACTCTACAAGCTTTATAAGTATTGTAAGATACCTATCCATCCCTAAATCTATTTATTGCTCCAACTTATTTTATTAATTTCAAAGTAAATTGTAGCTATCGGTGCACTTCCTCCTTAATACTTCAATGCCCATATCATTACCTTAGAGTTCATTATTTGTTTAGGGTTCCCCCCGCTTTGGAAGTAGAATATGCAATAAATACACAAATCTTAAGTGTACCTTCATGAGTTTTGCCAGATGTGTTTGCCTGAGTAACCCAAACCCCTGTCAAGATAGAGANGCCTCGGGCCAGGCCCCCCTTTTCCCTTTTGTGCCACCTCCAGTGGAAAACCAAACCAAAGACCACTCTGGCCAAGTCAACTGTGCCTTATACACCTCTTCCATCCCCACTACCCTCTGGGCAGGATGCAGTGGAGAACCCAAAAGCCCCAGTGGCCTCAGAATTTTCCATTTCCCCAAGTGTCTCTAGGGGCCGGAAGCCCTGGCAGTTTATTTCCTCTGTTGCCCAGGGTAAGCCTGGTCCTGGAGGTAGGAAAGAGGGGGTTTGGAGACATGGACTATGGATGGAGAATGTGCAGTTATTTTGTGTACTCAGTTTGTATATATATCCTTTGTATTCAGTAAACAGGCTACCCTCCCCAGGGAAGGCTGCCCATTTGTTCTGACAAAAAAAAAAAAGTATAAGTTTGCATTGGAGTATTTAGTAAACTACAATTTTTTTTTTCTAATTACACCTACACCTCATTGGATGATACAAATGATTAGTATTTTGGTGTTTATCCTTGTTTTTCTGCCCTATAAATGCTGTAAAAGATACAGAAAGAAAAATGCTGATGAGTGATTTGATCTAGAACACTTAACCAAGGGTGGGGGCGGGAGAAGTATGGATTGTACAAGTTTAGGCTTAATCTCAGCTGATCTCCTCCAACCCTGTGCTTATTGCTAGGAATACTGGCAACCATGGTGCTGACATTTGGCCAAACCTGAGTGAAATGTACTAACTAGTAATGAAGATAGTCTTGTGCTAGGGTCCAAAATAGATCAGGGGCAATGTGCAGTAGCTTGCCAGCATTGTTTAACAGAAAATGTTGATGGTTTGCAACTGGTTTCTATCATGGTCTCTTGATTTCTGCTGTTGAGCCTGATTTTGCCTATGTGACCAGAGGGGTATAAAAGACCTCTCTTTGAACAACAATGAGGGTCCCCTGATACCAAGGTATTTGGAATGTATCTTGGTGGTTCACATTGAAGATGAAATGGGTCCTGTTCTACTAAGATAGGATCCTGGAAGCTGTGCCTAGAATGTTTTGGGCCCCTCTGATGTTTCCCTATGCTTTCTCCTATATTATAACTTCTGCCTTCATTAATGCCTCATGTGAGTTATATATCCTGTGTAGCCTCAAGAATCCCAGTTATATGACCATGTATAATTGCTGCATATACCATCTCATTTTGAAAAAATTTAAGTGATATGTATCTCTTGTTTTATTTGTTCTCAGAGATGGCTAGCTAGGACATTGAGTCAGCTTACACATCACAAAGAAATGTCCTTTTGTGTTGCAAAGCCATCATCCTTAGGTTTTTTGATGAATTATCAAATTACTTGGTTATGGAATAAACTTTTTACGTTACAAAAGAAATATTATATGTATGTGAACTTGAAGGTAAATTAATAAGAATGTCAGCATTAAGGACTGAACAAAATTCATAATTACAACATGAAATGGGATATATTAACTTATAAATACAGTGTTCCACAAGTGAGACTGAAATGACAATCCATGCTATCTGCGCCATATCCTACTTTAAGCAAAACAAAACTAAGAATATTTTCTTCAAGTAGTATAGATTCTACATTGGAAGAATGTTGGTCTAAGAATTTATAGATAATCAGATGACTGCCATATTTCACAGGAGCAAGAATTAATTCCATTTTTAGTGTAATAAGAAATGGCACCCAACAGTGTGGGTGGAGGGGGAACACTATGCCCATTTTACCACTGTATTCCCCTTTATTTTAGGATAGACATGTACACTAAAATCTACCACCACCCCCCAAAAAACCTGAAGAATAACAAAAGTCCTAGCAGGTTAATCTCTTTTCTTAGGAATATTGAAAAATATTTCTTGTTACTTGTATCTGAGTTCTGTCTCCAATTTTTACAGGGGAAACAAGGCAAACATGTTTTATATGGCTGCAGTGAAATTTTCAATGCTACACAGTTCATAAAACAGGTAAAGTATACCTTTTTAGTTTGTTTCTGTTAACATACCCCAAGATGATGTTGATATTTTTCTAAAGAGAGAAAGAAAACTGTTTATTCATCTGTACCAGTTAAAACCAAAAGCCATACAGCTGTAAGAACATAAGAATTTGCAGTTGGAATAGTGTACTTAGGCAAAATCCAATCCCACATTTCCTTGCGTACTGTTCACATTTCTGACTTTGCCAAGCATATCACATATTGGGCCTGAGAGATTAAGCAATTTTCTTAGGGAATAGCATGTGCTCAGTTGATACAATAAAGTCCACTCACCTTAGCTGCCATAAAAATCATAACTGTACCCTGTACTAATTTTTAGTAACCATTTCTAGCATTCATTTTCCAGCACAACTTCCTTATCCTTACATGGTTCTTGTATTTTTAACCTTAATTTAGCACCTCAGAGGTTTTATGAGAATTTCAAACATACAGAAAACTTGAAGAGAATTTGCAATAAACACTTGCATACTCCCCATTAATGTTTTACTCTACAAGCTTTATAAGTATTGTAAGATACCTATCCATCCCTAAATCTATTTATTGCTCCAACTTATTTTATTAATTTCAAAGTAAATTGTAGCTATAGGTGCACTTCCTCCTTAATACTTCAATGCCCATATCATTACCTTAGAGTTCATTATTTGTTTAGGGTTCCCCCCACATCCCTAAATCTATTTATTGCTCCAACTTATTTTATTAATTTCAAAGTAAATTGTAGCTATCGGTGCACTTCCTCCTTAATACTTCAATGCCCATATCATTACCTTAGAGTTCATTATTTGTTTAGGGTTCCCCCCACTTTGGAAGTAGAATATGCAATAAATACACAAATCTTAAGTGTACCTTCATGAGTTTTGCCAGATGTGTTTGCCTGAGTAACCCAAACCCCTGTCAAGATAGAGAACATTATCATCACCCTATAAAGTTCTCTTATATCCTTTCTCAATCCCTGCCCAAATACTGTTTTGATATTTTTCTACCACCGTAGATTAGTTTGCCTATTCTGAGATCATCATATAAATGTTATCTTTTTTCCTAGTTAGGTTAACTAAGGGAATCTCAATTTTGTTCGTCTTTTTAATGAACCAGATGTTATATGGTACTTTTCTCAATTGTTTTCTGTTTCATCAGTATCTACTCTTTATATTATTTCCTTCATTCTGATTACTTTGGTTTTACTTTGCTCTTTTTTTCCTAGCTTCTTAACTTGGAAACTTAAGTTATTAACTTTATTTTCTAAAATAAGCATTTAAAGCCATAAAATTAAAATTCCTGCCAAATACTACTTTAGCTGCATTCCACAAATTTTAATATGTTGTATTTTCATTATCATTTAGTTGCAAATAATTTGTAGTTTACATTGTGATTTATTCTTTAGCCCATGTATTATTTATAGGTCTGTTGTTTTCAAGTGTTTAAGCGTTTTCTAGATGTCTTATTTGTATTGATTTCTAATTTAGTTCCCTTGAACATACTCCACATAATTTCACTGTTTTAAAATGTATTGAAATTTCTTGTGTGGCCCAACGTTTGGTGTAACTTGCTAAGTATTCCATGTGTGCTTAACAAGAGCGTGCTTTTGCAGAACTTGAGTGTAGGATTCTATAAATATCAGTTTGGTCAGGGTAACTGATAGCGTTGCTCAGATACTCTGTATTTGTTGGATTGATTTTTGGTCTAGTTTTATCATCTACTGAAAGATTGGCATTAAAATCTCCAACTTTAGGTCTGTCAATTTCTGCTTTTTATATTTTGAAGATGTTATTAGGTACATGTACATTTATAATTGTATCTTCCTGATGAATGGACACTTATCATTATACAGTATTCCTCTACATATCTGTTATTGCTCTTTGCCTTGAAGTCTACTTTATCTCATATTAATATAGCCAGTCTTGCCCCTTATACTTACTGTTTCCATTTGTTCACTTCTAACTTTTTTTTTTTCCTTTTTGTCTTTTTTACTGACCGGTAACGGGATCGCAAGCCTCGGTGTTGCGCCCGCACCGCGCTCAGCCAGTGAGTGGGAACCGGTCTCCACATGGGATCTGACCCCTCGGCGGGAGCGCTGCCGCGCTCCCAAGCGGCGCACTCGCCAGTGCGCCACCGGGCCGGCCCCACTTCTAACTTATTAAAGTGTTTATTTTGTAGCAGCATATACTTGGATTTTTTTTTTATTAGCCGTTCTTATAGTCTCTGCCTTTTTGTTGGAGTCTTTGGTCTATTAACATCTAACGTAATTACTGATAATGATTGACCACATACTATTTGCTTTTTATTAATCTCCTGTTTGGGATTCCTCTGTTCTTTCTTTCCTGCCTTTCTTTGGATTACTTGAAAATTATTTTTATTCATCCACAGAATTTTTAGCTCTATCTTTGCATTATTAATTCCGCAGCTATTCCAAAGGTCATAATATATACATCTTTGCTTGTAGATTATAGACTAGAACTTATATTGTGCCACTTGCATTAAATGTAGAAACCTTGCAACCATATAGACTCATTCTCCCAGCATTTATACTGTGATTATATATTTTACATCTATATACATTAACCAAGACAATGGTCAGTGTTATCATTTGTGTCTTAGTCATGAACATCATAAAGAAACAAATCTTTTGCATTTGCACAGATATTTCAAGTTTTCAGTGCTCTTCATCTCTACTTCTAGTAGATTCTAGTTTCCATCTGTTGACCAGAAAAACTCCTTTTAGCATTTATTGTAGCTCAGATATGCTAGCAGTGAGTTCTTTTTGTAATATGAATGTGTCTATTTCACCTTTGTTAATTATTATTTTTGCTTTACAGAATTCTGGATTGATAGTTTTTCAATACTTTAAAGATGTTAATCCACTGTTTTCTGGCCTCCATTGTTTCTGATAGGAAGTCAGTAGTTATTCAGGAAGTTAGTAGTAATTAAAATCACTGTAACATCGTTAAGTCATGTATTCCTTAACAATGGAGATTCACTCTGAGAAATTTGTCTTTAGGTGATTTCATCATTATGCAACATCATAAAACATACTTACAGAAACCTAGATGGTAGCCTCCTACACACCTAGGCTATATGGCATAGCTATTATAATCTTATGGGATTATAAATATGGTACATATGGTATGTCATTGACAGAAACATCATTATGCAGCACATGACTATATATATAATGTACCATTTCTCTCTGTTGCTTTCAAGATTATATTATATATATGTATGACATTCTGTGTATTTTTCTTGCTTGGGGAACACTGAGCTTCCTGAATCTTTAAGTTTATACCTTAACCAAATTCAGGGAATTTTCAGCCATTATTTCTTCAAATATTTTTATGCCCAATTTTCTGTCTCCTCTTCTTTTGGGACTTCACTTACATATATGTTTGAGTTTTTTTGTTGTCCCACTAATCCTTGAGGATTGTATCATTCAGAGTGTACAATTTATGTTGCTCTCACTTCAGTTTCACTAAGTCATTCCTCTATTATCTCCATTCTATTTAAGTAATGTATTTACCAATTCTAGAATTTTCATTTGGTTCCTTTATGTTTCTCTTATTTTTTCATTCATTGTGAGCATGTTTTCTTTTACTTCATTGAGGATAGTTATAGCTGCTTTTATAACCTTGTATGTTAATTACAACATATGGGTCATTTCACTGTTGGTCACCATTGATTGTCTTTTCACTAGAGAATGGGTCACATTTTTCTGTTTCTTTATATATTGACTAATTTTAGATTGCATCTTCAATGTTGTGAATATGATGTTTTGGAGACTGAATTCCATTTCTCTAAAAAATGTTGATTTGGGAGTTTATTAAGCAATTACCTTGTTTGGACTCAAACTCATTTCTTGGGAAGTAGCTCAAATCCCACTTCTGAGTCTCTCCCATTCATGAGTGGTTCAGGGTCTTTAAAGTTTATAATTATAATCTCTGGGAGAATTGATCCAATAGGAATTTACCCAGCCTTCCAAAATTGAAAGGCTTTTCTTTTGATCATCTTTTAGAAATACAAAAATATATGGAGAAGAGAACTGTCAGTAGGGAAGTTGCTCATGACATTTCTGTTTGCATTTTCATACTAAGTTAATTTCTTTTCTTAGGGTTTTTGTTTTCTGTGAGTTGAATTTGAACTTAATAAGGTTTACATTTCTTTGCTATGATAGTGTTTATTATATTTATAATTCAGTTTTTAAATATCTACAAATGTTAAAGATTTGAGTTAGTGGTGAATATTAAATTAAAATATATTATTCTAGGAATGCAGTGAATAAAATAGGAAGCCTAAATTTTACCGTGATGAAAGTGTGAATTTCTTAAGATATTTATAAATATATATAAATATATATGTTGAAAGTTATACCTATTTTTTTTTCTGTTTGCATTGTTAGGCAATTGTTTTTGTGGTGGGAGGAGGCAACTACATTGAATATCAAAATCTGGTTGACTACATAAAGGGGAAACAAGGCAAACATGTTTTATATGGCTGCAGTGAAATTTTCAATGATTTTGTGTTTTGTTTTTAGTTGTCACAACTTGGACAAAAATGACACAGAAGAACCTTAATATGATAATCTACTTGGAACTTGGCTAAATGTAAAAAGAAAAGTCAAAGGAGCCAGATGTTTTCTTCTCTATGACAATATTCTAACAGTGAAACTCAGTTATTTGTTAATTTTTAAGGAAATTCTATACTTAATATAATATGTACTGATTAAAAGAAAAGAATAAAACATTTAAGAAATAAATTTTACCATTGTTCATTCTCCTGTTACATTTGACAAATGAGAAAGTACTTTGGAAGTAAAGCTCTATCTGAAGATAATACTAAAGAATTAATATAATAACTAGCAGGTTATGTTTAAAGCTGGTGAAAGTTTAAAGTTATCTGTATACAAATGTTATTTGATTGGTTCTTGAATCCCCTACTTAAATGCATTTTAATTGTAAAAATATTTTCTCAGAGTTGCTTGTTGGTTTCCCATGTTGCTGCCTCTAGATTTTAAGTGAAGATTTTAAAGCCATTTCAGTGTCTCTTCTCCTTCTGGCACACCTATGTACATTGTATCACATAAAATCCCTCCTTCATGTAGTGGAAAAGTAAAAAAAAAAATTCATCTCATAAAATTCTAAAAAGTAAAAGTGTTGATTCCAAGATTCCTGGATACAGCACCCACAAGGACTGTTGATCAGTCATACAACTCAAGGCATATCCATGAGATAAAGCAAGTCAGTGCTCGAGAGGAAAAAAAACTGATCCTGTTATAAAGGCCCGGGAGCTTTTCCTCCTAATGATCCTCATCTGAAGGAATCCGTTACATTATAGATAACATACTGACAATAGATACAAGAGTCACAGGACTGTTTCAGCACCCTCAACCCCCATGAATCAGTGCTATCATAACAAAGCACAGGTCAAGGAACATAGAATTCTAGAGAGGTAATGGTCTGCTAATCTGACTTATTCCTGGGATAAAATTTAAAATATCTGGAGGAATGGAAAAGCTGGGTATACATCAAGCAATTCTTTTTTTTTTTAAAGATGACCGGTAAGGGGATCTTAACCCTTGACTTGGTGTTGTCAGCTCCATGCTCTCCCAAGTGAGCTAACCGGCCATCCCTATATGGGATCCGAACCCGTGGCCTTGGTGTTATCAGCACCACACCCTCCCGAGTGAGCCACGGGCCGGCCCATCATCAAGCAATTCTTGATAAGTAACATAGATAATATTTATCCTATGCAGCCAGCCAGTAAAAAAGGAACCTATAACAAAACAATCCCAAAATAGTAAGCCTTCCGTACCTTACTTAAATGAGCCAAAGGAAGGAAGGAATCTTGGCTCAGAGTTCACATTTACTTTATTTAATTCATTTCAATACAGACACAAGTAATCAAAGTACTAAAGTTTGATAGCACCAATAATTATAACCTGGAATAATTTTTACATCAAATGTAATCAGACACCTAGTTGAGGATTTAAAAAAAAAAAGGAAAGACACTGTGGAAATGTGTTCAGGACAAGCACAAAATGACAGAAAATGGCTCACACCAACTATATTGTCATTGCCTTGCTTACTGCCAGCAACATGCATCACACACATTCTTTATTTCAATGCTCATCATACTTTCAAAACTTCCACACTGCTTCTGACATTCTACTAATAGTATTTGAAGTGTAACTTGAGACTTTTCCTGCACATCATTTTGTTTAAATGTACTGAGTTTGGGGACATAAATATAAATTTTCTGTACATGGACACATCAGTCAAAAATAAGTTCTCTTTTTAAGAAATAAGCTATATGAAATGTTATGAAATTTGGGTAATAAAAGTCAAGATCCTTTCTAGAAGGAAAACATTAATGGGAGAAACATTCTAAAATATAGGTATAAAAGTTAGAAAATATCTTCAGAGAGGGCCGGCCCATGGCTCACTAGGTAGAGTGTGGTGCTGATAACACCAAGGCCACAGGTTCAGATCCTATATAGGGATGGCCAGTTGGCTCACTTGGGAGAGTGTGGTGCTGATAACACCAAGGCCACAGGTTCAGATCCTATATAGGGATGGCCAGTTGGCTCACTTGGGAGAGTGTGGTGCTGATAACACCAAGCCAAGAGTTAAGATCCCCTTACTGGTCATCTTTAGAGTAACCATGATTCTTTCAGAAGGAGAGAAGAAATCTAGGGTAATTAGAGGGGGGAAGGGGAGCGCATGGGGGAAGGGGAGAGATTGGACAAGGGGCATAAAGAATTATTACGATTTGTAACAATACATATGCTAGTAATATTGATTTGATCAACATATCTCAATGTTGAACCCCTAAAATATGTATAATCAATTTTGATTCAATAAATAAAATTTAAAAAGAAAAAAAAGAAAAAATATATGTGAAGAGAATAGGTAAATATGAAAGCATATTTGAAAAACATAGAAATTAAAAATAAAATATCAAAAATTTAATTCAGTAGATAGGTTAAGCAACAGATGAAATGTGACTAAGTAGGAAATCTGAACCAGAAGATGGATTAGAAGAAAGGATCCAGAAGGCAACACAGAAATAAACATTGAGAAATAAGAAAGGGAAATAAAGTCATGAACTAAAGAATGAGAAGATCTAAATCATGTACCTAACGTTGTCAAAAGAAAAAAGAGATAAAATGTGGCAGTGATAACACTTGAGATAACACCAATTTTCTAGAACAGATGAAAGACACCCATTTATACATCAAGCAACCCAAATAATCCCTAGCAGGGCAGTGATAAAGAATCCACCTTTTGGTACAGTAGAACACTAAAGACAAAGTAGTCACAGAAACAGTACAAGAAAAAATAACATTCACTGGGTTCCGAAGAGAGAGAGCACAGACATCTTAAATATAACCATTAGCCATAGTTTGTGGAATAATATTGTCAACGTTTTGAAAGAAAATACTGCCAATTAATGTCTAGCAAAATATTTCCAAGAAAGAGGACAAAATACATTGTCAGATAAAGAAAAAGTTTGCCACCAGCAAACTTTCCGAAGGAAATTCTAAAGGCTGTACTTCATATGCAAGAAAAGTAATGTAAAAAAAGAAAGAAAAGTGATGCCAGGTATAAAAAGAAATGAAAATGTTGTAGGTCAAACTAAAAGAATACTAATTGTTTGAAACAACAGTAATAATAGCTTATGGGTTTAAAAAAAAATTGAAATACATCACAACACATAAATAAGAAAAATTGTTAATGGTGTAAAAGTGTGCAGAGTCCTCCAGTTCCTCCCAATTTCTTTGTCCTGACTAAGGATCACAGAATGCCTTGACCACCGTGTGACCTGGCCAGCTACATGTTTTCCCCTGCAGGCTTGAACCCAAGACTGCCTTGGACATTCCCAGGCACTGATAAGCTTGTTTAGGTTGTTGCCCAAAACAATGTAAGATCAAATATGTTGCTAAACATTTAGAAAGCCCTGGCCCTATGCCAAATTCCTTAACCCCCCACATAAACTCCATATCTAACCCCCTTGTCGCAGATGTACTTAGGTAGAATGTGTCTTTTCGGGCCGGCCCGGTGGCGCACTGCGCTAGTGCGCCGCTTGGGAAGCGCGGCTGCGCTCCCGCCGAGGGTTCGGATCCCACATACAGACCGGTTCCCGCTCACAGGTTGTTGCCCAAAACAATGTAAGATCAAATATGTTGCTAAACATTTAGAAAGCCCTGGCCCTATGCCAAATTCCTTAAACCCCCACATAAACTCCATATCTAACCCCCTTGTCGCAGATGTACTTAGGTAGAATGTGTCTTTTCCTGCTGTCCACCACAAGGACTGCTGTAGCACTGTGTATAAGTTCCCCTAATAAGTGTTTTGGACTGATCACCCTGGCATTTAGTGCTTCTTTGGAGTCCCAACCTAGCCCCATTTCAGGATGGTCTGGGGAAGTCCCTTGCAGGAACTCCCCTGCCACTGCTTTTGGGGCAACTCCAGCTACAAACTTAGCTGGACAAAACAGTATCAAGGTTCATGACTGTCTGGATAAAAGTACTCATTAACTTTAAAAATTCATACATTAGGTATGTATTTGTAATTTCCAAAGCAACCGCTAAAAGAAAAAATACAGTATGAGTTGTCTAAACTAGTATGTGTAGAATGGGAGTATATGAGAAGAGAATGAACATAGAATGGGAAGCACAAAAAGAACTGAGATATAAACCCAAATATACCAGCAATTACAATATAAATACACTAAATAATTCGGTTGAAATATAAAGACTGTCAGACTGAATTTTTAAAACCCAGCTATGCTCTGTTTACAGGAGACATTTAAACTATAAGAATATGGGTTACATATAAAAGAATGGAACAGCTATAATATACAGAACCAAATAAAAGAAAGCTAGTATGGCTTTATTATATTAGACAAAGTACACTTGTAAGTGAAATGTAGTTTTAGAGATAGAAAAGATAATTTCATAGGCATGCAGGTTTCAGTTTACCAGAGAGATATGACAACTTTAAATCTATTTGTACCTATACACTTCTGGCAAGATGGTGGAATAGATGGTCCCCAGCATCAATCTCTCCCACAAATCAACCAATTTACAACTATGAAAAAGCAATGACAGCCAAGCTGGGGCTGCTGGAGCTGAGGGGAAGAGGAGGAGAGACCTATGGAGTTCATGATGGCAGGAGAAGCCACAATGAGAGAGAGAAAAACCCGCTCTGTTTCGAGCCCTGGCTGCTTCCAAGCTGAAGCTGTTGAGTGCACGGAACAGGAGCCAGCAGAAGCCACAGCTGTGCCCTTCAGATGAAGCTGCTTGGAGGTGGCAAGGGAGAAGAGGGCCTTCGTGGCCCCCAGGCCAGCAAGACCACTAGTAGGGTTCCCATGGACCCACATAGGAGCAAGGAGCCACAACTGAAAAAAAGGAGCCACTCAGAGGCTGATAAGTCATCGCAAGGGACCAGCATGTGACCCGTCCCATGGGAAGTGTTTGTGATATGGGCAGTGGGGGAGATGGAGCCACTGGGAGAACACTGGGACATAGCAAGGACAGCTGATCTGCACCCCAATCAGCACAGGACCACTCAGAGGAGACTGGTCAGGAATATAGAATTGCATGGGGTGCAGTTTCATGAAAAGACTTAGGCCCAGACCAGAGTTTCTACACAACCCAGGTGCACCGGCTTTCACTAGACCCAGAAGTACCCATAAAGTCAACCATTAAAACCTAAGGGCTGAGCCCATGGCGCACTCAGGAGAGTGTGGCGCTGG